TGCTACGTGCGCTTGATAAAAAGATCACAGTAGCTTGATATCGGTTGATTATTCTAAGCATTGATGGATCAATTATCTCCTTCTTCTAGCTAAATTGAAATATATTGGCTTTGATAATACCTCACTTAAATTTTCTGTGCGTATTTTAACACCGAGTTCAGGAAGTTTCTCTATCTACACAGAGCACTGTCCCAAGTGTCATATAATCTGGAATGCCTCAGGGATCTGTCCTAGGTCCTCTCTTATTCCTCATCTACACCTTCGATCTATAGGCAGTAATGGAAAATTCTGAAATGCAATCTTTTGCAGACGATACCCAAATAGTACATTATTTTAAAGCTATGAATTACCAACAGCTAATAAAACGATATTGACATGCTTTGTAAATATTCAGCCAATCATAATTATTAGTTAATCCTGAGAGGTCAAAAAAATAGTTTTCTGTTCTGATAATAAAAGAAACTACGTCAAAGGTAACCTTAATATCTTTATTGGCAGAAATCTTCTTCGGGTTGGTACTACTGCCAAGATTTTAGGTGTCGAGGTCGATGAGAAGTTAAGGTTTTATAATCATATCAACTGTCTTGCTCAAAAAAACCTACCTCCGCTTACGCACTTTGTACTCTTGTAGGTACTTACTGAACTATAAGCTCAGGAAAAAACTGCGTGAAACGCTAGTGATGTCTTGTTTGAACTACTGTAACATACTTTATTTCATATGCCTTGACAAAATAACGAAAAATAGAATTCAAATTATACAGAATAATTGTGTCCGTTTTATATGTGGATTGAGAAAATTTGACCATGTATCACAGAAATACAGGACGCTGAAATGGCTCAAATTTGATAAATTGGTCGAATATCACCATCTAGTATTTATTCACAAAGTAATAACCACTTCTATTTAGCTTGTTGTTCATGATCGGTTGTAGAGATAGGTTGAGTATCAGAATTCCGCCTCACTCTACAGTCTTATTCACCCGCAGTTTTTCTTATAATTCGGCAATTCTATATAATTCGTTGGAATATTCATTTAAATATGATGAGCTTAGCAAGTTTTCGTAAGCATGTAAGGATCAGGCTGCTTGACTGATACGATTCTTTCCACATTCATCATCCAATCAGACTTTATATTTATTACGTTGAGAAGCTAATATTTTTTAAGCGCATGATATATATGTATATATATGTATGTGTATATATGTGTGTATATATGTATGTATATATATTTTTTTTGTTATTAACATCACTGTATTTATTGATTCAGCTGGTTAAGTGTAAGAGTAGCATTGCTAAACTTCGCCAGTTGAGTCCCACTTTCAGTATGTACCATGTACATATTTTTTTGTAATAAAGGCGTATATTATTATTATTATTGTTATTATGTCTTTACGGTATATGAAGTTTGAGGCACATTAATTAATTTTTTTGAGCGTCGATATCTTGAAACATTCCTTGTGGGTAATTTGCCAGAAAACTACTGAGGGTATTTTTAAATCTATTGAAAACAATACACCCACAACAGAGGACAACGGACACTGTTATTGTAATACGAAGTTTAAATAGCATGCCTAACCTATTTTAAGGCAGATGTAATTCAAAGGAGACAAATCGCATGGACAGTATGATATATTGAGATTAGGGTTATGTCAAGTATCACGGTGTTGTAATACGTCACTTTATTAATGGGAACATTTACCATTTGTCTGAAAAGATATTTTTAAGAATTATGACTTTGGATAAACATTCTTTGTGCTGAGGATTAGTTTTGAGTTAAAATACAGTATATGGAATCAGCCGAAGATTCGGTTCATCACAGTGCATTCACGCCTTATACGCGAAATATTTTCTGTTCTCTTTAAAATAGGAATTTCCAGTATGATAAAGTTTCTTAAACTCAATTTTCGTAGACGTGGAAGAGTCGGTAAAAAGTTAGACATTTCTTGCAATCTGTATAAAGGAGCTCCATAAATTCAATGTTCACTCACATTTCACATTATTGTATTAAATGAGAAATATCTTTCTACAAACTCGCAAATTTAAAGACATATAAATCTGATATAGAGAGTGTGTTAAGCGAAATTTGATTACCTTGAAGTTTAGCTGTCTGATTAGAGTCGTGAACTGTTCTGTCGCGATTTTTTCACAGCACCCTAAATTGATAAGATCGGGATGCTACGGTTTTTACTTTCCACGCCATTGGCGAGGAAGTATTTTAATCGCGAAATTTTTTTAAAACTGCTTCTAAACACATTTGAGTTTTCGTCAAAACAACGACGATACGTTTTGGATGTTATGTGACCTATGCATCGATAAGATGTCGGTATGTCTATTCGCTAATCCTTGGCCTGTTTTATAACCTGAAAAGTACCGCTCGAATTGCAGAATTTGAAAATTCCGTCCGGGGTCGCCGGAGCCGAGGGTAAAAACGGAAACAATACAAGTCGCTCAAGCTTTTCAAAGGCTCCTGATCATGCAAAAATTCTTGTATGAATTAAAAATTGGGGAGTGGAAGTTATCGAGGTCTTAATTTTTTGATGATAGAATGCTTATATGCTTCCAATTCCGCTAACTGACTTAATCCGTTCAATTTTTGAATATTTGTAAGTAATTTATTTCCTGAATGATTTAACTTGCACCAAAAATAATCCATTAGGGACTGATGCTGGTGTTGCAAAGTCTATTTTTTCTAGCACTTCACCGTCAATCTTTGAAAATGTAGCAGCATCACCTACTATGATCTCATAAGTTTCTTAAAAATTATACGGTACGACTGACTTTCAAATGAAAAAGTACAAAATACAATTGTCAAATGGTAAGCATTTTACTTGAAAAAGACACTGTACTTCCAGTACCAAACAGAAGTTTCACCATAAGAAAAATCGCTCACCGTCAAACACAAGAAATGGTAATTTTGCATGGTCAATGACCTGTGTTCTAAGTGGATTTGGTGAGACGTTGAACCTCGCTACGTAATAATGATCTTTTTTACCATTTCTTGTTTCAAACAAATAATTTTCATCGCGCTGCACGAGAAACTTGATCTATTGTAGCGCTACCGGTTTTTAGCCGCGTGTAACCATGTAATCAACATTTTTAGGATGATATTCAAGTTTGCTGGTGAGAATGTGAATACAGTTTTTCCTACAAGCAACAGAAAAAAAAACCGTGGCAGCCTGGAACCATTGAAGATACTCAACCATATACTGTATTCCAGCACCTTTGACATAAACACAGCGTCAGGCCCTGACCTGATTCCTGCTATTATACTGAAGAGGTGTGCAGCGAAACCCAGTGAATTGGATGCCCACCTCATCCCAAGAAAAGGTTCTAAGACCGACCCATACAACTAAAAACTCATAGCTTTGCTGACTGTTATCAGCAAGGTGATGAAGAAGTGCATAAATAGGGAGATTCTAAAGTATCTCAAACATCGCAGCTTGATTAGCGATATCCTTAGTAGTTTCTCCTTCTCGCTTCGTTATGTGGAAGCAAGTGTTCCCCAGGGATCGGTCTTGGCCCCAACATTGTTTCTATTACATATCAACGACCTCTTATCTTACTTTTACGATGTCAGCACTCTACATGCAGGCATTCAGTGAAGCAAGTGACGAGCTGGAGAGAAGACTAGTAGCGACTTCCCATTTGATGAGAGACCTGGAGGTTATCACCGCTTGGGAACGTAACAATCTGGTAGAGTTTAATGCTGCAAAACACAGTACTGTACCTTGACAAACAAGAAGCTTCTTGGGCTCGAGTTCTGCCAAAAAGCCGTTCCTTTCGGCTGGTCGGAGTCCAGAACACCGAGGACTTGATTTGTCACGAAAACATCTCGCAAATCGCAACAGTTGCAGGTAAAAAGCTAGGTTATGCTGTTCAGATTAGGGCTGTTCGACTGATCAATGACATTATGCCGACCTTGGTGAACATCCAGGACTCGGCGATACGAATGCTGCTTTGTTCCTAGGATCCTAGGGTGTCGAAGTTGTGGAACAGTCTGCCTTAGTAGGCTTTTTCTAATTCTGCTAACGTTAGGCAGTTCAAAAAGCGGAACAACAAGGCGTCATTATCCTCGGAACTGCTGTAGGGAACGCGTCGCATAGGCTAATGCTGGATCGCGATGTAACCGGTGTGAAAACTCCAGCTAGGTTCTTTCACAAATGATTCACAATTTATTGCAATCACCATAAATCGAATGACAAAAGTTTTAAGTTTATTAGTCCGGTTACAAGTTAAATAAGTTACAGGTGTAAATAGTTTGTGTTTCCCACATGGCTTAGATCCAGACAAAGTGTGGACATACCTAATATTCTGGAGAAAAGCATGTGAATTTGATGCTCCCATTTTCTAAGATGAAATAAAGAAGGAGGCGTCATATAGTTCCTTATGGCAGTTTCCGTGCTCCGGTATTTAGGTTTCTGTGTACGAGACTGCTTTGGTATAAAAAAGACCACAAAAAGGATTTAAAAGAACCTAGCGCCATCTATGAGATAGTACCAGAACACAAAAAAGAATCCACTAACAATGATTGGGATAAGAACCAATGCAGTATCTACCTGGCTCTTTACATTTTGTGTAAAGTCTCCGAGATTTTCTCGATCTAATCCTTGGTATGAAAAAGACCACAAAAAGGATTTAAAAGATCCTAGCGCCATCTATGAGATAGTAGCAGAACACAAAAAATAATCCACTAACAAATATAATATCAAGAAGAAGGGCATAGCAAGAAGGAACTGGAAACGTGACGGTAGTTTTCTTATGATCAGTTCAGTAATTTTAGGAAGCTCATTAAGAACCAGATCAGTGTTGCCTACTCCGCTTACGTCCAATCGGTTGAGGATGCCATTGTCAATGATCCTAGCAAATTCTGGTCATTTGCCCAGATCAAAAAACAGCAATCATTTCTTTAAAAAATATAAGTGAAGAAAACGTAATTAGGGCTTCGAAAAGATAAAAGAACAAAATGACGTCTGGATGTGATGGTATTCCAAGTTTTTTCGTTAAAGATTGCATTCATATACTAGCGAAACCGCTGGCTGCCATATTCAACCTAATTCTAAAATCAGAGACATATCCAAATATCTGGAAGACCTCTAAAATATGTCCTATTCACAAAAGTGGAGATATCTCTGATATTTCCAACTTATCGCCAAACAGCAATCCTGTGCAATTTCAGCAAGTTGTTTGAGATTATCGCTTATGAAACGGTTTACTGCTCGGTCAGGGGTGCAGTCTCTATTAATCAGCATGGGTTTATGAGAGGCAGATCTACGGTCACCAACTTGGCTCTAATTACTCAGTACATTTCTGAAGTACTGGACGGTCAGGAACAAGTTGATGTCATCTACACAGATATTCAGAAGGCGTTTGATCAAGTTGATCATTATGCACTTCTGGATAAGCTTAAAACAGTGGGTATGTCTGATGCAATGCTGTCGCTCATGAATTCATATTTGAGGGATAGAAGGTTATTTGTCGAATATGGTGGTCATAGGTCGAGTTACTATCGGGACACGTCTGGGGTACCTCAAGGGTCAAATCTAGGTCCATTATTGTTTTTAATATTTATTAATGACTTGTCTTTTGAACTGAAGTGTTTCCATTTGTTTTTCGCTGATGACCTTGAAATCTGCACGTCAGTCAAGACAGTCGATTGCGTCATGTTGCAAGATGACTTAGCTCTAATTTCGTCATGGTGTTCACGAAACTGTCTCAGTCTGAATGTTTCGAAATGTAAAGTTATGACTTATACAAGAAAAGTTAACAATTTAATTTATGATAATTATAACATCAATGGTCAGGTTATAGACAGATGCACCTCTTATAGAGACCTTGGAGTCATTTTTGATACCAAGCTAACGTTTACTGAGCATATACTCAATATCTCGTCGGCTGCCACTCGACTACTTAGTTTCTGTATCAGAAACTGGAAGGGTTTCTCCAATGTTGATACATTAATGACTTTATTTTTTACTTTTGTCAGGAGCAAGTTGGAGTATGCGACTCTGTTCTGGTCTCCTATATACCAAAATTCTGTCGTGATCCTTGAGGCCATTCAACGTAAAGCTTTAAAGTATTTTCACCTTAAATGCACAGGTTCTTATACAGAAAGAGGTTGTGACCATAGTGCCCTATTAGAGTTTTTCAATTTGGATTCACTGTCAACAAGACGAAACATATTTGCTTTGTCGTTTTGTATGGCCTCATTCACAATAAAATTGACTGTCAAAATTTACTTGAAAAAATATGTTTCCGCGTTCCAAGGGTAGGGAGTCGACAACAAACGGCATTCTATTGTCAAGCTGGCCGTACAAATGTTATGACAAAATCGCCAATTAATCTCATGTGCTGCGTCATGAGCAGTGTTACTGAATCGTGTGATATTTACAGTGACAGTTGTGCATCGATTATTAACTGCTATGGATCATCCAATCTTATTTAGAATGTGTGATACTATAGATTTAAGTCCAAGAACCATGTCTCTTTAATTGTTATTTTTTTCAGCGTTTCCTGTAATTGGGTTTCACCTGTTGGAAATAAATAAATAAAATAAAGTAAAAATAGGGATAAGAACCGATGCAGTATCTACCTGGCTCTTTACATTTTGTGTAAAGGCCCCGAGTTTTTCTCGAGCTAATCCTTGGTATAAAAAAGACCACAAAAAGGGTTTAAAAGATCCTAGCGCCATCTATGAGATAATAGTAGAACACAAAAAGGAATCCACTAACAAAGATGAAGAACCGATGCAGTATCTACCTGGCTCTTTACATTTTGTGTAGTCCCCGAGTTTTCCTCGATCTAATCCTCGTCTGTCCAGCCATTTTTGCAGATAGTATCAGTTTTATTATTTTGGCCTTCGACGTCGGTCATCTCTTTCTCTAAATGGGCCGGAACAGTAATAAAAATAAAACTGCTGCCATTTTTTTACGGTTTTTCAAGATTTTTTCGCTCATTATCGGAAACATCGATTTGTCCTTTTGCAGTGTGAAATGGTGCCCATAATAATATGTTTTCACGGAGTCAGTTGCAAAAAAGAGGCGCAGCTAGTGAATCCCTCTTTTACAAAAAAAAACAAAAAATGTATTGTCGATTTGTTCCTGAATGCAAAAATACAGTCATGTGGCATTTACTCGTTTCGAACAAATATTGAAGTGAGGTTAGCAAAATCTAAGATAAAAAATTCTGAACATTTTCTAAAAAGTATCAGAAAGCTGTAGTATTGCTTCATACTAGTACATACAACTCCATACCATCTTCAAAAAATAGATATTGCTTAGGTTACAATGACCATAAAAAGAGTTAGAGTGTTATGTTCTGCTATTGCCTTATAGATGACGCTAGGATCTCCATTCTCTTTTTGGCGTCTCTCTAATACCTATTTTAATGGTTTGCATGTACCTCCTGCATACCACGTCGCCTCCATAAAACAAATCCGCATGTACATGCATCGGGTCCATAAGCACGCGCAGCCTACTTTGACGTTGGAATTAATAGTCTGACGAAGTCTAAAGGGTTGTCGCCTGCTATTCTCTGTCACTTGAAGGTACAAGAACGATTCTTTAGACGTGCCGTCGCTTCCTGCTTAATTGATTAAAAGCCATGGAGCAGGAAACTAAGAGGCTGCGGCGATGAACGGGAGGCAATTTTGTTGGGTGTCAGGGAGGCTCAGGCAGATGTCAAGCAAGGATAAATTATATTGTTCACAAATCAATAGCAGTTCTTGGAAACATGGAAAGAGTGGTTTGTGCTTTCAGTGCACTGAAGTTGAATGTAGAAAACGAAATCAAGAAAAGAACATGTGCATCGGTTAGTCTGTCTACTAATCTTTGACCCCTTTATAACTCGGAATGTACCTCTCAGATTTTGATGGAATTTTGACACAATTTTACTACTATGCCAAGGACGAAAAAGCCTTAAAGTTTTTGAAAATCGGTCCATTGGTGGCGGAGAAAAAGGCCAAAAATAGAAAAAGTAAAAAGTGGTCAAAACTAGTTTTTTGACGTTTCAGATGACCATATCATTTAAGAAAAAAATTTTAGAGGTATCAGCCGCATCTGCTTCTGCTCACGGTGGCGTGCTGGTTCTGGTAAGTGTTCTGGTATTACTGCCGCGCCTGACTGATGACAGGGTCAGTTTTCGGGAAGAGACAGCGTTGCCAGATGGACTAGCTGTAGGGCAGGGAAAGAATGTCTATGGACTAAATGTACAGACCTCTTTGACTAACGTTTTTATAAGAATCTAGCTTGTGCCTTCATGAACTGATGGCTGTGTTGCGTGATAAGTGCAGAGTCAACCTACTTTCTTCCATATTCCACAGTTCTGATGGCGTTGGAAATAATCTAATCTAATGAGATGTTTTTCTATTTGTTCCAGGTGGTGTCCTTTGCACTCCTGCTCACCATTTGTAGCCTGCCTTTGATCGCCGCAGCTTCCTTGTGCCCCGAGAAGCAGTTCCTGCACAGTCGTCTGCAGACCTGTCTGAATTGCAGCGAGTGTGGCCACGGCTTGGTCGCGTTGAGGCCATGCGAACTGCACAGGGACACGCACTGCGGGCCAATCAGCGAGCTGATCAAGACCCTGCAGGCCAGTCAGGGCGGGGGGCCACACCACAGGCACAGGCATCAAGGCAGGCGGAAGGAACACGAGGCGGTGCAGGGTGCCGTGAATGGAGAGGATATCGTGTGGAGGTAAGTTCGGCCTTTGGGGTGATTTGGCATCCAGGATATGACTATGACGACAGGGTCCAACTTGTGCTGAACATAATCGTATGCAGGGTGTCCCAGAAGTCGACGTCAAGCCGAAACCGGGTGATAGGCAAAGTCATAACAGCTATCAGAAAAATATTTAAAAAAATTTTATGTATGTGTTTTGAAAATTATAGGTCTTTGAAAAAGATATAGAAATTTCACACCCTACGGCAGTCTGTCAACTCCTGTTACTACAAATATTAACTTTTTTTGGATTTTATTTTTACAATGTAATGATGAATAATGCATCTTCAAACTGGTGTCTCAACCTTACTGCCAACTTTTCTCGTTCAGGAAAAATTGCCACTTATTTCCCAACCAAGTATTCCAAAGTAAAACTTTGCTCAACTTTAACTGGCTGTACTGGAAAAAAATGTACTACGAGAGTTTGGCAAGTAACCTTAAAAGTTGGCGCATTTAATAAGGATTCCAAAATGGGATAACACTTAGAAGATTACTCGTTAACTTATGCACAATTTTTATTTGAAGAAAAACTGATGAAAATTTTTCAAAATTTCCTAATTAAACAGCGATTATGAAATCGCACAAGTACCCTTAAGGATAACTGTTTGCACAACAGTGGGCGTCAAAATGCTGCTGATGATGATTTACCTTTACAGCAAATGCTCAAACTGTTTTCCTTCTGCCGCAATACACGTTCGACATCTTCTTAAAAAAGATGGGGTTATTAAACGAGCGAATCCACGGTTATTAACAAACTCAGCTGCTTCCAATAGTCTTTGCCGTAGCTCTGCTACATTTTGAATCGGCTTGAAATACACTTTTTCTTTTACAGTTCCCCAGTAAAAATATCTAAATGATTCAAATCAGGTGATCGGGCTGGCCACTGTATTGTACCAGACCGCCTTATCGATCTGCCTGGAAAGTTTTGATCGAGATACTCTCTCACTGAGAGTGCATAGTGCGCTGGGCAGCCATCATGCTGAAACCACATGTCCCTGTAAATACTCAGTGGCACGTCCACCAATAAATTTTGTACATAAGCTTCAGCAGTCAAAGTCTCTGGGAACTCAAACGGATCGATTATTTTACCATTTAAAATTCCAGTCCAATGGTTTATCTTGAAGCGATATTGAGATTTATCTTCTCTCATCAAATGTGGGTTTGCTACGTGCCACTCGTGTAAGTTATGCAGGTTCATGTACCCATCTTTCTTAAATGTGGTCTCATCCGACCACAAAATTTTTTCAAAGAACTGTGGATCTTTCCTGTGTCTTTCTAACATTGTGCGACAAACAGCAACTGGGGGCTCATAATCCCGGGGCAGGAGAGGTTGAACACGCTGTATATGGTATGGATGAAGCACATCACTTACTTGCTATTGCACACATTGATACTGATCAGTACTCCTTCGTTTACTGCGCATCTTTACATGTTCGGGCTTGTTGATTTCGTACTGTTAATAGTTTTGGATTCGTGAACTGGACTGTTGATCGCTTGTGATTTGGATTTGGACTGTTTAATTGCTCTTCAAAACAACATGTGCTTTCCTTAGACTATCTTTGATAGTGTGATTGTGCAGTGCCGCTATGTCCGTGTACATCGTACAAGAATATGCTAACATGCACCTCATTTATGGGGAATGCAGATGCAACGCTAGTGCTGCAGCGAGACTTTACTGTGAGAGGTACCCGAATGCAGCTCGTCATCCAGATCATCGAGTGTTCACAAATGTGCACCGCTTACTTTCTCATAGGGCCAACTACTAAACCAATCACACGGTGAGGGAAGATCTTTCCTTCCTTACGAAGACGTGGTGCTAGGAGCTGTCGAAGAAGACCCGAGTACTTCAGTGCGTGCAATGGAACTAAAAACAGATGTGCCCAAAAGTACAGCCCATAGAATCTTGCAAAAAAACGTGTTCCATCCATACCACGTACAGCGTGTTCAAGCTCTTCTGCCCCGGGATTATGAGCCCCGAGTTGCTTTTTGTCGCACAATGTTAGAAAGACACAAGGAAGAAGCACGGTTCTTTGAAAAATGTTATGGTCAGATGAGACCACATTTAAGAAAGATGGGTACATGAACCTGCATAACTTACGCGAGTGGCACGTAGCAAACCCACATTTGATGATAGAAGATAAACCTCAATATCGCTTCAAGATAAACCATTGGACAGGAATTTTAAATGGTAAAATAATCGGTCCGTTTGAGTTCCCAGAGACTTTGACTGCTGAGGTTTATTTAGGTTTTTTGCAAAATCATTTAGAAAATTTATTGGAGGACGTGCCACTGAGTATTTACAGGGACATGTGGTTTCAGCATGATGGCTGCCCAGCGCACTATGCACTCTCAGTGAGAGAGTATCTCGATCAAAACTTTCCAGGCAGATGGATAGGGCGGTCTGGTACAATACCGTGGCCAGCCCGGTCACCAGATTTGAATCCGTTAGATTTTTTTTACTGGGGAACTGTAAAAGAAAAACTGTATTTCAAGCCGATACAAAATGTAGCTGAGCTACGGCAAAGACTATTGGAAGCAGCTGAGTTTGTTAATAACCGTGGATTCGCTCGTTTAGTAACCCGATCTTTTTTAAGAAGATGTCGAGCGTGTATTGCGGCTGAAGGAAAACAGTTTCATCATCAGCAGCATTTTGACGCCCACTGTTGTGCAAACAGTTATCCTTAAGGGTCCTTGTGCGTTTTCATAATCGCTGTTAATTAGGCAATTTTGAAAAATTTTTTTCTTCAAATAAAAATTGTGCATAAGTTAACGAGTAATCTTCTAAGTGTTATACCATTTTGGAATCCTTATTAAATGCGCCAACTTTTAAGGTTACTTGCCAAACTCTCGTAGTACATTTTTTCCAGTACAGCCAGTTAAACTTGAGCAAAGTTTTACTTTGGAATACTTGGTTGGGAAATAAGTGGCAATTTTTCCTGAACGAGAAAAGTTGGCAGTAAGATTGAGACACCAGCTTGAAGATGCATTATTCATCATTACATTGTAAAAATAAAATCAAAAAAAGTTAATATTTGTAGTAACAGGATTTGACAGACTGTCTTAGGGTGTGAAATTTCTAAATTTTTTTCAAAGACCTATAATTTTCAAAACACATACATAAAATTTTTTTTTATATTTTTCTGATAGCTGTTATGCCTTTGCCTATCACCCGGTTTCGGCTTGAAGTCGACTTCTGGGACACCCTGTATAAGCCATGATGGGAAGTGAAGAGTCAACATACTTGACGCCATTTGTCTACTGACCGGTCTCTTTTTTCAAGGTACGGCGATGACATCCAGAAGAAAATCGACCAAGCTCCGTCGATGGGCTCCGAAGGTGTCCCCCTAAAGCCTCTGGCCATGGAGGTGTCCAGTTCAGAAGCCCCTTTTTCCGGGGCGGAGACCTTGGTGTGGGACTGGCAAGCAGTCGCACTGACGACAGCTGTCTTCGCGTGCATCCTGTTTTTTCTAGCAGTCACCCTCTACTCCTTGCACCAAGCTAGGCAGTGGAGGAGGCTGAAAGAAAATTTCGAGGCTGGTACGTTCCTTACTTATTTCATTCAACCTTACGTTTTTCTCTTATTCATTACCTGTTATTTAGTCTTCTATCTAGCTGAAAAATCAATATACGTTTCTTATGCTATATTCGTCTACATATCTTGTCTTAATTTTGGGATATAATGGTCGACGTTTCGAGGTTCGACATATATTTCTTCAGAGTCACAAAATGGGAAACATGTTTATTTAAATTTCGGCAAAATACAAAATACCACCTAAGGTTAAAATATTTTAAAAATTAAATCACAGTATACAAAGATGTTAGAGACAGCTGCAAACAAAAAATATACGGCGATGGATGCATGTACAAATAGAACAACTTCAAGAGGTGAAACGTAACTAATTTTAATGACAAAGTACCGGTTACAAAATTACAAAATATTCCTCTGCAAGAAAATTGCTGGTGGCAACGTCAGCATCGGATTGAAAGCAGGAAAGTTGATATATCTTTATATGTATTTGCTGACATTTTAAATGGGGAAAATGATAAAGCATGCCGTAAGTCGTTAATAATGGCGTCACCTAGGTTGACCCTGCGCTTCCCATCATCAGCTTATTAACGTCAAAAAATGCATTTTTGTGCATTTTTTCTTCCATCGGAACTTGTTCACAAAATAATAGTGCAGTTCTAAACTTGTATGTGAATATTCCACTTCAATAGAAAAATTGCGCTGGCGATTACTCTTCTCTTATCACTTTCTCTCTTCAAAAATACTTTGATTTTCTTGAAAACTCAATGAAAAATGAGCTTTAAAAAAATCAAAGATTATTCGACTAGAAAAAATTAAATTGCGACCTTAAGGATTATGTTCGGATCAAGTTAGCCTCTCTTAGAAACAAGTACGAGCCCGTTCCTACTTCAGTTGGTCCACTTCAAGATTTGTACCAAAATATGCCTTTATAAACTAAACATGACGAAACTATTTACTTCTAAAACAATTTATTTTCTCAAAAACATTTTAGATACACTCTAGTCGTAAAAATACATATTTGAAATCACTTAGACCTATAACTAATAGAACAAATAAGGAATGTGCGAATAAATGCGCGAAGTTAACAAAGCAACAATTGAAAGATTACCATTGGGTAACATCAGCTTTATTTTTTATTACGGCTAAAATTCTTTGGGGCAAAGTGTTAACCAAGTTTTGGCAAAAATTTGGTGTAAAACAATCCCATATTTCTTGAAACTTTTGTCTCAGTTCGGTGATTGTACGAGCAGGATGTTGAAGAACCTTTTTCATCTCGTGCCACAAAGTTTCAATAGGTAACAGATCTGGACTTACCATTTCAAAAGTGGTACATTATTTTCTTCCATCCATTTTATAGCCTTTTTTGAGGTATGGCACGCTGCACCATCTTGCTGAAACACAAAATCTTGGCCGGATGTCAAACATTCTTCCATCATTGGTAAAAGCGATTCTTCTAAAATTGCCAAATGTTTGTTTGTATCCACATTTCCATCAATATAATGAAGTTTTCCTACTCGATGACGTACTGCCCCAGACCATAATGGATGCTGGAAATTTCAGACAGTCAACATCGAATGCTTCATTTTTTTTTGCGAATAACTCTACTGTGACTGTCACCAACACAAACTTCGAATCGAGCCTCATCACTCCATTGTATTGCACACCATTGTTGAGGTGTCCATTGTCTATGTTCTTTAGCCCATCTAAGCCGATTTTTCTTTTGCAGTGGAGTTAATAGTGGCTTTTCTTTGGCCTATAAACAAGTTGTGCAACTTTAGGGTTTTTTCTTCACTTTTTTTTATAAGAAAATTTACCTTGCAAGTGCTAAAACCCAGTTTGTGGGCCTCTCTATGAGTTGTGGACCTCGAAATTCTCCTTCCAACCGCGTCACCCCACAGAGCAGTTAATTGTAAATAATTGGCACGCCTGTTTTTCAATATTATTCTTCTTAATGCTCTTTGGTCGGCATTTGTGATATTACTTTTTTTTCACATATCGTGGCTTAATATTAACTGAACCAGTTACGTTATATCTTCTAACAATATTTCTCACACTGTACCGCGATAAGTCTAACAAAGTTGCAATTTCTGTGTTCGATTTCCCAGAATTAAAAGATTTAATTATCACTAACCGAATTTTCTCACTAATTACTTTTCCTCTACCCATTTTGTAAACCTTAACTACCCAAAACTATTTTAAACGTATTCTGACAGCTGTGATTAATAAAAACAATTGTCATGGCTTTTATTTTTCACAGCCACCTATGCGTTATAGACTTATTTTGCATTGAAATGAAAATAGTTTGATATGCTGTAAGTGCAACATGTGTTATTTTTATCGTGTAAATTTGATTAGGGAGTGATAAAGTTGGTGTTTTCTACTATATATTATCAAAATATTCATTGTTAATATTTTAAACCTATAACGCCCTGCTACATTTTTATTATTTGTGTTTGATAAGAAAAAAACTAAGATTTCAATAGTTGTGCCAACTGAAGCGGGAAGGGGCTCGTAGGATATAAACATTAAATGGATCAAGTCAGCCAAGCAGACTCATACAATCAGCCCCATAGTTCCCACCCATTTGATAACGTTACGATCTAGAAATTTCTCTCCTGTCCTAACTGCAGTATCGACCACATGGCATGACATCGCTGCAGGGAAATTATACCGCGAAATATATGTCTAATAGGCTTATAGAATTATCTGTGCTCTAGATCGGAACAAAATTTAGTGGAAGATTAGATCAGCGTTTTGACTATTGAAGAATCGTTAGCAGCGCAATCCAGCTAATTGCTTGACATCTAACACAGCTGTCGCAGCAGCAGACCATAACCTCAAATATTTTTTCCTAAACAGGAGTGACGTCAGCGATGACGTTTAAATGTCTGTGCGCCAGCAAGCCATAAATGCCTGGGCAGGCAGCGACAGGTGAAATCAAGTGCGCATGTTTGTGTATGTTGTTAATATCCTTCATGTTCCTTCACAAGTAACTATAACTCCTGCTTATTGATGGATTTTTTTTTAAACAAAATAGTGATCTCATGTGATTTTTACATTTAATTCATAGATAGATAGATTTATCCCAACGAGCTAATGTACATATTTAGCACATGATTATTGTTTTTTTACTACTAAACAGATTCCGACGTGCCAAAAAATGTATGTTGCTAAAATAGAGACATATGTTTTCCATAAATAATATTCATACATCATCCATTTTTCTGACTTCATATCGATATCCGGCATTCCCTTTTAATAAAATCTTCTTCTGCGCCCTACTTTAGGATATCCGGTGTAAGTTAACCTAAAAACACTCGGAAATGATACATCTGCGCTAAGGATACGCTCTAATAGAAAAAGGGACGCACCTTCCCAATTGAAACCATTTATTTAGGGAATGAGGCGTATCTTCCTTCCGGTTCTTTTGACGTGCTTGGCTGTCGTGTTACCATTTCGGGTCTAGCAATATACAGGGTGAACGCCAACAAAAGTAAGGGGCAAATTCAGCACGTTGGAATATAAAAAAAGTTCATACCTATATATAACAAAAAATAGGAAAATAATGGGCAAAATCCGCAAAAAGAAGGAAAGTGTATTCGAGCAAAACACCCGTATCCGTATGTGTGAGCATGTGTATCTACTTTTGTAGTTGCATATGTGCATTCATTTCGGGCCTGATGAAGCCAACCAGCAGAAATACGTATCGCTCGGGTTACCTATCCTATTTTCTGCTCGAATCCACGTTCCTCCTTTTTGCGGATTTTGACCATTATTTTCTTGTTTTTTGTTATATATAAGTGTAAAAATAAAGTTTTCGCCTTTAGTTGGGTACTTCGACAAGATTAAAGCGATGAGGACTCTACTTTATTAGCCTCTAGCTTTCGAGGGACTATGCCATCATCATCAGGAGCTACAATAACATTAGGAAGAAATAGCAACTATTGTGCAAAATGATTTTAAATTACTTACAATAGTATGTGAGATTGTTTGCTAAATGTGAATACAGGTTAAGTTGAGGGAAACATTTAGTAACCTGGTGAAAGCTGGATTCATGGTACACGTTAAAATTGGTAAAAGACACACACAACTGTTTGTCAGGAATACATCACACCTTATTAAAAATTTTTGGAATGAAATTTAAAATTATTACATGTTACATCATGAAACAACCACTTGATGCTGCACAAAATGGTGTAGGACAGGATCATAAGTATAATGAAACATTTGACAAATGACAGAGGGCTGGTAGTGTCAGTGTCGATGGATGGAACGAAAGTTTGTAAATACATTTGAGATGGTGTGATTTATCAAGATATGTTAAATAAAAAACTTGTCAACAGGCCAGAGGCAGTTGAACAAACTATATTATTAGTGAGATGGATAATTGAATTAGCAATTATTTTATTATGAGAAAAAACATTAATTTACAGTAGTAGTAGTACAGTAGTAATTAGTATTAATGGTCAATGGTTATGATAAAATGTAACCGCAGTATTTTTATATTTTCCATTCCCCCATAAATGTCACCATATTTTTCCACCACTCATTTTTTTAGATATTTATTTTATGGAACATGGTATCAACAAAGCTCTTCAACTTCTATCAACTGCAGTCGCAAAAACGAATCTCGGCTTTTTCCTGGAGCACCATTGCAAACGTTCGCTCCATAAAACTGCGAATAAACTGCCGAGGGTTTCTTCCTAATTGATAATAATTTTCTATCGGGCTGCGGGAAAAAAAGGAAATGCGCTCGACTTTTACGATCCGGAGGCCGTTTCGACCGTATTTGTGATGCAAATAAAGCAAAAACGGATCGTGGCTTTGAAAGGAAATAATCGCATCGTTACTGAGAAGACGATACATCGTGGAAGCTTATTGTGATACTATAAATGTACTTACTCCCTTAATGACCTTGAGTTTTTGTAGCGATCACTTTAAGCACGTTTCAGATGGAGTTTAACCAACCAATTTTCGTAATCTGGATCAAAGTGCACTTGAGCAAGATATTTTTTTGACAGTTCTGTCATTAAATTCGTATTCTTCATACACATCAAAAAAAAGTCATGTGGATCTAAAAGTGGATCTTCACGAAGAAAAATATGCTATAATTATCTTAATTTGGTCAAGATTGATTTGTGTAATAAAGTA